CCCAGTTGAAGACTGTACACCATCTTTAGCACTCTTGAAGATGAAGAGGAGTGGTTCCTGTAAAGTCTTTTATGGTCAGAGGTCTTGGGCAGGATCTCTTACTTAGAGCAACACATTACTTGACTACTCCTAGTCCTATAACAAATCTGGGCATTGGAAAGTATACCAAGGTATTCATCAGGAGTATAAGTGTCTGAACTCCATCCTAATTAGAACTCTGAATGAAAGGAGTTGGGGTATCATCTGTGGTTCAATAGTATTTAATTGCTCATGTTGATGAATAGAGGGATACTGAGGAAGGAATGAGACATTCTTGGACACTGTTTGGATAGTATAGCTAAGTTCCCAACTTAGGATGTACTATGGCCCTTCCAATGAAGCTAAGGGAAGTCTGGCTTTGAAAAAAGGAGTTACTGAATAGATTCTGCTGTTTCAAGACAGGCGCCTGGAAAGTGAACCTGGGCTTCTGATCAGTCAAGGGAAAACGAATTAGCAAGGTGGCAAAAGCTATTCCTGATGACATCAGCAGTCCCTTCTCTGGACATACTATTGTATCCTGGAGAGCTCTTGGCATCCCCTGGGATCTCACAGCTGGCTTAGAGCATTCCTTCAGTGTCTATAGGGTACATCATTAGACATGCAGTCAAGACTGAGGAGTCTACTTGGGAGACAGAATGGAGAATGTCTGGAGACCAGAGAGGGGGAGAAGGAAGCTGGCCTTCAGTCTCATAGTAAAATAGGGAAAAAATGGTTCTGTAGAAGGCACAGTGAGTGGTGAGCAGGAGATGGGGAGGTTCCTGGAGGAGGTGGGTTTGAGGTGACCCTTTCAGGGGGCAGAGGAGCTGGAGCACAATACCTGAGTGCTTGTGCATTGTGCCATTTTTCTCCTGGCTACTGAAAAAACAGGCAGGCTCAGGGCTCTGGACCATGTTGCATCCTGTGCCTCTGTGAATATGCCAAAAGTGGTGGTCTTTGTTCTCCTGAAGAATGTGTAGGGACACAGAGGAAATCCCTGACTGCTTACATAACCACATCTCTACAGAGTGACTGGAGAGCTAAGATCCACAGAGTAGTGATCTCAGCCTGGCCCAATATGTTTGGGTTGTCACTTGATTCCAGACATGATCTTTCTGTTTGATCCTCAGGCTGGTCTGTCCATCCTCTGTGCCTTGTTCACTTGTGTTCATCTACCCACAGAGACTGCAATGGAGCCATCATCCCACCCAACCCTCCTCACCAAGAAACAGGTGAAGAAGGAAATGGAGAGGCTGATCAAAGTGGTCTATGCTAGAAGCATTTGGCTCTGATTCTTGTGTTGGGGGCCAGGTTTGTGGGCAGAAATGTGGGAAGAAGGGAGGAAGTGTCACTACCTATTGTCCTGGATCTAGCCCTATGAAGCACCCTCTCTGGCAATATTGTGAAGGGGCCTTTATGAAAAGTTAAAGGATAAGAGGCTTCAGGTATGTGTAGTCCTTGATTAGGAGGATTCTGCAGCAAAGTGGCCACCTGATCCTGGCTCCAGGTCAGATGAGGGACAATATAGAGACCTCGGACAATTAGGCAGAGATTCCAGTCAGGTCTTCTGGGCTCCAGGACCCTCACATTGATGCTAAATTCAGGGGAATTGAAGCATGAATTCACTTCCTTCCACATTTTAGTGTGAATATTTTTGGTGCTGAGAATGGAAACAGGCCCTTCCATGTTCTCTATCACAGAGTCATACCTCCAATCTGATTTGACAGTTCTTTTCTGTTCCTTTTTGAAAATTTCTTTTCTTTCTTTTTTTCTTTTTTTTATTTAATTTTATTTTATTTTACAATACCATTCAGTTCTACATAACAGCCACAGATTCCCTTGTTCTCCCCCTTCCTGCCCCCCTCCCCTTCCCCCC